GTAAAATAAGTCAGAAAAAGAGATCATATGATTTCACTCATATGTGGAATTTGAGAAACTTAACAGATGAACATAGGGGAAGGGAAGAAAAAATAAGATAAAAACAGATAGGGAGGAAAACCATAAGAGACTCTTAAATGCAGAGAAAAAACAGGATTGGTTGAGGGGGAGGTGTTAAATGGTTGATGGGCATTAAGGAGGACACTTTTCAGAATGAGCACTGGGTGTCATATGTAAGAGATGAATCACTGGATTCTATTCCTGAAACTAAGATTACACTGTATGTTAACTAACTTGAGAATTGAAAGAAAAAAAAGAAAAGAAAAGAAAAGAGAGAAGAAAAGAGAAGAAAAGAAAAGAGAAAGGAAAGGAAAGGAAAGGAAAGGAAAGGAAAGGAAAGGAAAGGAAAGGAAAGGAAAGGAAAGGAAAGGAAAGGAAAGGAAAGGAAAGGAAAGGAAAGGAAAGGAAAGGAAAGGAAAGGAAAGGAAAGGAAAGGAAAGAGAAAGAGAGAAAGAAAAAGAAGAGCAGTATACAGATTGGAAATGAAGAAATAAAACTTCCTTTGTCTGAAAATGATATGCTTATCTACATAGATAATCCCAAAGAATCTTAACAATAACAACATAAAGTCCTGGAACTAATAAGTGGTTATATCAAGGTTGCAGAATACAGGTTAATATATAAAACTTGATTGTTTTCTTATACACAAGCCATTAAAAACTACAACTTGAAATTTAAAACACTATACATTTATATTGGCACCAAAAATATGAAATACTTAAGTATCAATCTAACAAAATAGATACAAAGTGTACATGAGAAAAAGTATAAAACTCTGATGAAGAAATCAAAGATGTAAATAAATGGAGAAATACTGCAGGTACATGGAAAAGAAGACTCAACACTATCAAGATGTTATTTCTTGGGGCACCTAGGTGCCTCATTCAGTTAAGCTTCCAACTTTTGGTTTCGCTCAGATCATCATCTCACAGTTCGTGGGTTCGAGCCCCACATCAGGCTCTGCACTGACAGTATGGAGTCTGCTAGGGATTCTGTCTTCCTCTCTCTCTGCCCCTCTCCTGCCCACTCTCTATCTCTCCCTCCTTCTCTAAAATAAATAAACATTAAACAAAAAGTTATTTCTTCCCAAATTGATCCATACACTACAAGCAATCCTAATCAAAATCTTGGCAAGTTATGTTGTAGATATTGAAAAAAACTGATTCTATAGTTTACATGGAAAAACAAAAGATACAGAATAGATAATACAATATTAAAAAAAGAACAAATTCAGAGGACTGAAACTACCCAACTTCAAGACTTACTATAAATCTTCAGTATTTAAGACATTGTTTTATTGGCAAAGAATAGATAAATTGATCAATGGACTAAAGACAGAGAGCCCAGAAATAGATCCACATAAATATAGTCAACTAATCTTTGGCAAAGGAGCAAAGGCAGTTCAATAGAAAAAGGAGAGTCTTTTTAACAAAAGGTACTAGAATAGCTGGGCATCCACACGCAAAAAAAAAAAAAAAAAAAAAAAGAATACAGACACCAACGTTATACCTTTCACAAAAGTTAACTCAGACTGGATCATAGATTTAAATGTAAAATGTAAAACTATAAAACTCCTAGAAAACAATATAGGAGAAAATTTAGTTGATCTTAGGTTTAGAGAATTTGTTGTTGTTTTTGATGCAACACCAAAGAATGATCCATGAAAGAAATATTGATAAGTTTGACTTCACTAAGATTAAAACAAAACAAAAAATAACTTCTCTGTGAAAGACACTGTTGAGAGAATGAAAAGGGGGTCATCAACTGGAAGGAAATATTTTCAAAACATATATCTGATAAAGGACTGGTATCCAAAGTACACAAAGAATTTGTAAAGCTCAACCATAAGAAAACAACTCAAAAAATAGACAAAAGATCTGAACAGACACCTCACCAAGGAAGATCTACAGATGGCAACTAAGCAAATGAAAAGATGCGAAACATCGTAAGTGATTAAGGAACTGCAAATTAAACAAGATACCACTATACACCTATTAAAAATGGCTAAAATCCAAAATACTGACAATAGCAAATGCTGGCCAGAATGTGAAGCAGTAGGAATGCTCATTTATTGCTGGTGGCAATACAAAATGATACAGCCACTTTGGAAGACAGTTTGGCAGTTTCTTACAAAATGAAACAATTCTCACTGTAATATGTAGGAAAGTGCCCACTGGTATTTCTCCAAATTAGTTGAAAATGTATGTTCACATAAAAATCTCCAAATGAATGTTTACAGAAGCTTTATTTATAATTGCCAAAACTTGGAAGCAACCAAGATGTCCTCCAACAGGTGAACGGATAACAAATTGTGATATATCCATAGAACAGAATACTGTTGGAGGAGGTAATCAGGAGGATGTGACTGCCAGTTGACCATCAGGCTAGATTCAGGCGTTTGGAGGCTCCTCACCCCTTTGCTTGTCCTTGGAATATATGCTCTGTACACAGTGGGAGCTGCTCTAAGTACATGGTCTTAAAGGAGTAAGGTCTTTTGAGAACATCTAGATGGTATATGTGATGGAAACCAATTAAGGCCTCTATATAAACTTTTAAGATTTGGCAATGGGTGCAGATACCTACTCATCTTGCAGCCACCCAAGACAAGCCTTATTAGTAAGTTCTCTTGCTTACTAAACTGCCACCTCCCAATCCGGAGTGGTCTGTCTCTTCCTTCGGTCTCTCCCTGCTCTATGTATACAGGGATAGTTTGTAAACCAACAAATACTATTCAGTGATAAAAAGAACCAAGCTATCAAGCCATGGACATACATGGAGGAATCTTAAATACATATTGCTAAGCAAAAGAAGCCAATAAGAAAAGCTATATACTGTATCATTCCAACTATATAACACTCTGGAAAAGATAAAACTATGCCATCAGTAAAAAGATCCCTGAATGCCAGGGAACTGGGGAGAGGAGAGGTGGGACCAATAGGTGGTGCACAGATTTTTAGGGCCATGAAACTATCCTATATGATACAGTAGTTATGAACACATATCATTATACATTTGTCCAAACCCATAGAATGTACAACACAGTGAATCCTAATTAAACTACGGACTATAACAATATGTTGATACTGGCTCACGAATGGTAACAAACACACTACACTGGTGCAAGAAGTGTGTACCATACTGTATGTGTGGAGGGGAGTGAGGAGAAGCTATATGGAAACTGTATTTTCCACTCAATTTTTCTGTAAATCTAAAACTACTCTAAAAAACAAAGTCTCTTAATTTAAAACAAAGAAAAACAACATGGCAAACACAAGCAAACTAAAACTGAAAACATTCTCTGGAATATTAAGAAAACAATGTCTTTATAGAATCCCACATGTTTGAATATGCATTCAAACAATAATCACCCAAATCATCTGCTTAATCTTTTGGGCTTCACAGAGGCAGGCAATAAAAGGCAGAAAATCACTCTTCAATGGACTTGCCAACCACATATGGCATAAATCAGAATGAAGCATCAAAGATGAAATATGCTCATTTGTGAAGTCAAATGAAAAATAAAAATGAAAAAAACAAGAAACAATCATCATATTATTTTGTTCTTGAATAGCAGAGGTAGTCTTTTGAGCCTCTCCCAGCCAGCTGTGGATTCTGAGAAAACAGTAACTGGTGATAATGATTAATTCTAGAGATGAGTGTTTCACTATTTTGTAATATACGTCTTACTGAAAGGCATTTAAATTTGGAAAAACTTGGTAACATACCAGTGCTTTAAGACCTTCTGGGGAAAATTAAACAAATACTACTTTGAGCATATTTCTATATACCTAGGTCATGATTTTTCTGTACTACAATTTAAAGTAGAACAATTACAAATAACTTTTTTTTTTTAATTTTTTTTTCAACTTTTTTTTATTTATTTTTGGGACAGAGAGAGACAGAGCATGAACGGGGGAGGGGTAGAGAGAGAGGGAGACACAGAATCGGAAACAGGCTCCAGGCTCCGAGCCACCAGCCCAGAGCCCGACGCGGGGCTCGAACTCACGGACCGCGAGATCGTGACCTGGCTGAAGTCGGACGCTTAACCGACTGCGCCACCCAGGCGCCCCACAAATAACTTTTAAGCACTAACAGCCTTAACTATTCTTTTTAAAAGTTTTAGTCCATTCCCTCTATAGGTTTGCAATTCTAATTATTGCCGTGCAAGGTAATATGTTTTTCAAATCGATGTCATAGAAAGCATTCTTACATTAACTTACTGTTATTATTACTACTATAAAAAATCTACCACTAAAATGTTAGAGAATCTTCTTAAACATGAAAACAAAAGTAAACAAAACCAAGTTTAAAAAACATGAATACCGGGTGCCTGGATTACGCAACCGACTTCGACTCAGGTCATAATCTCACGGTTAGTGAGTTCCAGGCCTGTGTTGGGCTCTGTGCTGACAGCTCAGAGCCTGGAGCCTGCTTTGGATTCTCTCTCTCTCTCTCTCTCTCTCTCTCTCTCTCTCTGCCCCTCTCCCACTCATGCTCTGTCTCTCTCTCTCTCTCAAAAATAGATAAGAATTAAAATTTTTTTTAAAAACATGATTATGAAAAATGATAATTTTTGCATAATTTCTATCCCAAGTTTGAGAGTCAATTTGAATTTTTATGATTATAAAGAAAGGTTTAGTCTTCTATTACTATAGTGATAAATGTTTTTTTTAAAACTTGTTGACACTTTGATATAATGTGGAAATGCATGCCTTATCCTATGTAGTTGTACTATTAATTATGTAAGAATGCAGAGCTCTGCCTGTTCTATACTCTGAAATGTTCACAATTGAAATTGAAAGCCTCTTAAATTAAACTTCTAAAAACCCAAATCCCCAACCTGGTTATAATTATCCCTTTGTAGGAAATAATATATCTTATAAAATTATGTTGTAAAATACCTAGGTGAAGCAAAGATATAAACACTGAAGGCCTCCTACCTTAACATAGCATTTTTTCCGTCACTTCTGGTGCACCAGACCTGCCGAGTTTGATAACCGATCTCTAAGTCCCAGGGCTTGGAATGGTGATGTGGCTTGTAACTCTGATGTCTAAAGGTTACTCGCTCCTTTGAATCAGAGCTAACATCCAGAACAGTTCTTCCGCTTAGGTTAATTTCTTTAAGATGAGGCAGCCTACATTTACTCCATGGTCCAACTTTAAGGCTAAAAGTATACTCCTCTTCTCCAAGAGGACAGGAAACGGGAGTGTCACAGGCTCTTGACTCAGTCAGATTGGGACACTGAGAACCGCCATAGAGAGGGGGAGCGATGGCTGCCCGGGTTCTGTGTTGCAATCGCTTCTCACATCCCTTGCTACACTCGGACCATTGTGAGAACTCAGATACAACACAATCCCGGGGGCAGGGAATGAGGCAAGCTTGCTCTGTGGGGGGCCGTGGGACAAAGTGTTCACATATTTCATTTCCAGCCACGGTTCTGTTTAACTTCTGAATACAATGCGCAGTCCGGTGCTGTAACCCATGTTGCGCTGTCACACACTCCTCAGGCCGAGGCTCGGCTTGGCCAAGGCTGGAAGGGGCGAGCACACAATGGTGCCAGTCAGAGACCTCCCACTGGAAGAGGTCACTGTGCCAATCACAGACTCGGAAGCAGCTTCTTTCCTTTGGAGGCCTGCTGTTCTCATCACAGTTAGAGACGTGACTCGTCCACCCTTCCAAGTGGAAACACCACAGTGCACGACTCTGGACTCCTCCTGGTCCACAGTCTCCTGCGCACCTTCCCCAGGGGCCTACAGGCACAAAGACAAGGATGTCAATTACTCAGACATTCCACGCGGCCCTCCACACAAAAATGGGTCAGTCTGCACACTTCCCAACACAACCAGTATGAAATTATGAACTTGAGTGGAGGTTTAATTTAGTTGTGAAGAGTGTGGACGCTGCATCGGTCTGCCTTTGTTGAAATCCCCTCTCCCTCTCTTACCAGCAATGTAAACTTGGATGAATTACTTCCATTTGTAAGCCTTAGTTTCCTTAACTACATAAGCGAAAGAATAAAAGCACTGACTTGCAGAACTGTTCTGAGGATCAGTGGTACAATGTGGTGCCAAGCAGACAATGCACACGTAATAAATGATTGGTATCATTATAATCACTACATTCCAAAGCCTATATATCTAACTCAATATTAATACTTTCTAGGTAGACAATGTTTGATCTCAAAGAAAAGCCCTAAACCCAGGATCTTAATAAAGAAGGGTCTCTCATCTTTCTAAGCCTTCAGCTCAATACTGCAGGTGGCTCAGAAGAGAAATACGTTTTTAAAAAATAACTTGCCAAAGTATCCTAAATATATTTTCACTCGCTTAATAGATGTCCCCGCTTTTGGTTTTTGCTTGCAGAGTGAATTGCATGAAAAAGAAAATATCTGATGGGGGAGGATGTAATAAAAGCAGCAACAGCACTATTGAACTGCCCCCACAATCCCTGAAATATACCCCCTTGGATTTTCGACAGGTAATGATTCCGGGTAAAGCTTCCAACATTGGTTAATAATATGCCACTTCTTTTAATTACTGAACACGTTTTCATGAGAAAGAGTCCCACAAAGAAACAGACAAAGAGTGTCCATTGAGGTTTCTCACATTGTTTTGCATCTGATCTGAAGACATACCAGCCAGCCTTATCCAGAAGGCTGATGATACAACTTCATAAGGATGGCAAGGAAGCACATTTTATGTCAGTTGGAAAGAAAATACTTTCCTCTCTTTCACTTTATTTAAATATGTAATATGAATGCAAGAAAATTTTATCAGCTCAATCATAACCTTTGCCCCTACACTAGGTTGTGATAATAATAAAGGTAATTCACACCCCGAGAAACAATTTACATAGGTAAGGGAAAGAAGATGCAGTCTTTCTGTCTTTCCCCAAATCTGATCAAACACCCCAAATGTCCAAATGCCATTTAACTACTTCATGGACTTTGTTTCCATGTCCACACATTATATTTCTAGGAACAGTAATGTGTGCATAGTCACATGCATTTAGGAAGAGACATATATATCCTCAGAGAAACAGGTACTTGCATTTGGGGCCAAATGCTGCAGTGAGGATCTATCACTTTAACAGGACATCAGTTTTGGGGTTCTAATGTGCAGTCTTCCCAGTTCTTCCTCACAGCCCTATCTGGTTATGCAGACCCACTATGCCAATGACTTGTCACTTTGTAAGTGAGATTAACGGAGAAAATACCCTCAGGTCCTTTCAGTGTCCTCATCCTGGAGACTCCTCTTGCTGAAGTGGGCACAGAAGTTTCATTGAAGTAAGTCAGCTTTTACTCACCACAATGCCCTTGACTTTGCCCACACATTTCCTAGGCGTGGTGCCCCAGCTCATGACACAGTAAATGCACATAAAAAATGGAACTCTCGGCTCAGGCCGATTTCATCAACTGCCCTGGATTCTGGTGATTTTTCTCCTAGATCACCCACAATTTTGTACTCTGTAAATCGAGATGTTCATTGCCACATGCAAGTCATTTAAAGGCTTCATGTGTCCAGATGCTCTGGAGCAATCTCAGTTCAAGTATGCCATCCCTTGTCCATCATGGCAGACTGTGCAAATTTTTATTAGTGCCCCCCAAAAAAATCACCATGGTTACTCAGTAAAGAAATACTCCAGGGGCACCTGGGTGGCTCAGTTGGTTAAGCATCCAACACTTGATTTCGACTCGGGTCATGATCTCACTCACGATTAGTGTCAGTGCAGAGCCTGCTTGGAATTCTCTCTCACTCCCTCTCTCTCTTCCTCTCCCTCCTTCTCTCTCCCTCTCTCTCTCAAAATAAATAAACTAAAATTTAAAAAAAAAAAGATATATCCATTTAGCAAATTTTAAAATCTAAAATCAGTCTTGAATAAAATAAAACAGTTATCAGATAAAATTGAAAGATGCTCATTTTCTAAGTACTAGGTTTTTAAATAATGGCTGTCTGCTTACCTTTATTTGTTAATGTAGGAAATACACGCAACTTTTCCCTTAGGACTTTGTGTGTGTGTGTGTGCGTGTGTGTAAAGAAAGTAAGACCAGAAAAATCAAACCATTTCTAACCAATCTGAAAAATGTAATACTAAATTTAATTCATCTAGAACACCTTACAAAGTGATCATTATTCTTACTCTTAAACCATTTTACTAACATATTTTCTTATTATTAAAATGTTTCCTTCTTGTTCTAAGTTTTTTGCCTACTTTCAAAACTGTTAAGGTAGCTCTTTTTTGTTATTTGCAATCATTAATATTTTAAACCTTGTACATTACTATTCTTCCCTTAGTTTTCACATTCTCCCATCTACAAAGAAATACACCAAACAGCAAAAAATTTCTTAGATCAATAGAAGACAAAATATACGTATTAAGAAATAATAATTACCATTTGTTAAGGGCTAGCAGTGCTGTCGTAGGCTGGGATGATAGCAGAAGACTGTTACATATTCAAGAATTTTACCAAGTGGTTGCTAAATCATTCATAATTTGTTTTATTTTAAATTTTTTTTAATGTTTATTTATTTTTGGGACAGAGAGAGACAGAGCATGAACAGGGGAGGGGCAGAGAGAGAGGGAGACACAGAATCGGAAACAGGCTCCAGGCTCTGAGCCATCAGCCCAGAGCCTGACGCGGGGCTCTAACTCATGGACCGCGAGATCGTGACCTGGCTGAAGTCGGACGCTTAACCGACTGCGCCACCCAGGCGCCCCTAAATCATTCATAATTTGAAATCAACCATGATGTATTTACACCACAAATCAAGACATTTAAAAACAACAACAACAACAATAACACAGAACTGCTTTGTCATATACCACAAGCAATTTGCTCAGTGCCTTCCTTCCTTTCTTGTTTCTTACAACAGTCCTCTGACACGGGGCTGGTATGCTCCCTTATCAACTGGGGAAACTAAGCTCAGAGAAGTTACAGGGTGCATCCAAGGTTATACAGCTAGTAAATGGTAGACTAGAATGGGACTCCAGATCTGTGAGACTCCAAACTTAGGCTCCTGCCCTTCATTTGAAATGAGTTTTTGTTGTTGTTGGTTGTGGTGGTGGTGGTTTTTTTCCATATGCATTGGTATGTGTGATCCTAACATCACAAGGCAGATCTGTTTCTTAGCTTAGCTATGATCTCTCCCATCTGGTAGTTAGTATTCCTTTGGATATGAGTACAAGTAATCAAGGTGGTATTTGAGCAATGATTTCTCCCTTCTGGCCCCGGAAATTTAGGATGGCAGGTAAGACACATGCATGTTGATAAGCATTAGTCAGTACATTTAGGAAGGCGCAGTCAGGGTAGAATAGTTTCTCCTCATGTTAAAAGCAAACTTTGCAGACAAGTGAACAACAGGTAAATAACAAGCAAATAAAAAAGTGAATTGCGTATGCTTGGAATAAATGAAAAACAAATTGCAAACAAGACACATAAGATGGAGACAAGACCTCTAAGCAATTGACCTATAACAATTTGCATTTCTCAGGCATAGAGGCAAAATGTGTTCCATGATTTATTCAGTTGTGTTTGCCTATGAACTTTAAACACACACACTCGTGAAAATCACATAGCCCTGAGGGATTTTGCCATTTCAGAAAACATGCACATTTAAGTAAGCTGTGAACTACAGTTTGAGAAATCTTGTATCTTTGTCCAAATTCAGAAATAGGACATATTAAAGTTTTGAGCAGTTGCCTGTAGAAAATGAATATCACCTTTAAATTTTCTATATATATATATATATATATATATATATATAATGTGATTATATTCACAATATATATCTTAGATAATAATCTAAAGAAACATATAGGAAACCCATGCTTGTAAACATCAATCATTTGGTATTCCTTAATTGAAAACAGGCCCCAAGTAATACAAATTAAACAAAATTTAGAACCAGTAAAGGATTAAAAGTTTAATTAGACATAATGTGCCTTTAAACTAAAACTCATGCTGTGTTACATTTCTCAGAAGATATTTTAATGGTATAACAGGAATAGTAATTCAGTACTTGTTTACCTGGACCAACATTATACAAAAACAAAATTCACCTGCAATTTACTACCTTTTGTGTATGATAAACATAGTCGTTCTAGAATAAACTGCTAAATCTTTTAAATCACAACAGTTTTAATTATTACATTAACATTTTGGTTTAGAAGGTAAAATCTTTGCACACAAAAGGGTAGTACTGATGGACTCTTGGGTCACATTCACATTTAAGACTCTTTGATTCTTTTTTTTCCCCTGCCTGTGTTTCTTGCAGAAAGCACAAATATGTGAATGCTCTAATGTAATACTCCTCCAGAAGCAGAAAAGTGCTGGCACATTTTATTCTCTTAATTAAGTTATCCTTAACTGGATTAGTTTAGATGAATGTATCTCCCAATCTAAATCATCATATTTAGGACAACCTACTGGATGCCTGAGTTTTAGGTGTGGCATTCACTGAGATACCTACAACAAAGGAAAAAGGGAACTCAAGAAGTCAGAGAGAATAAACACATTCCATAGCTTTTGCACACCATTTGCCACCCTTTGAGGCAGCAACCCTGACTTAATACCATTCATGCAATAGGAGGAGATGTTTATTTTACTATTCTTTTTTTTTTTTTTTCAACCACTGCTTTTATTACCCTGACATTGCTTTCTTTTTATCTTGGGCAATGGGGTTGAGGAATGACATGAATGTCAATGCAAAGCTTTAATACCTTACCCAAATTATTTGTGGATAATTACTAT